CCCCAGGGCCTGGTGCCTTCCCCGGGGTGGCAGCGGCCTCTGTGCCCCCGCCACCCTCGGAGTGGCACCCTGCGGGGCGGCCGGTGGCTCGTCCTGCCCGAACCCAGCGGCGTGCGGGGATGTGTATATTCGAACAGCCGCAGCCTCTGTTCGAGAGGAGTCCCGTTTTGGGGGTCTGCTGTGCTTGAGGAGCGACGTAGCAAGGCAAAGAGGAGGGGGGGGGTGTGGTGTTCCCGAAGGTGTTTTTTCCTTAAAAGCTAAATCTCTAGGTGCGCTGTTGTGGTGTGACATCCTGTAATAAATCTGGGTTAAAACCTAGTCTCCTCTGCCTGTTCTGCATAAAACACCTGGCTGTCCAAGACGTGATGCGGTGCAGGCGTCGAGCTCTGTCAGAAGCGCCTGCTTTCTGGTTCTTCCTTGTCAGCAGGGCAGTTCAATAAATATTTCTTTCTTCAGTATTTCAAGTATAAAATGTCGCTAAGAACAACTGCAGATGTTCCTTTATCTTGGTAGGTTATGCAAGATGAGGGAACAGACCTGGTAGTCATTTTGCAGATGAGCAGTGTTGGATTTATTTTATTTGTACAAACAGTTACTCTGCAGACTCTGAATCTGCATGTATCTGACATTCTTGACAGCTGTCTCTAGCTTTGGTACTAAACCACACAGTTGTTTAAGAAAAAAAAAAAATAATCGAGAAATGTGTTACTGTAGAAGGCAGAGACACCGGCTTTGGCAGCAATTTAAGCGACTGAAAGTAGGTTGCAGTTACCGTGGAATTGTTCTGACATGTTCGTGTACTGTTCTTGCACAGTGGTGCTTGAGAAATCAGGCTGAAGGACTTGTTCTAAGGTAACTTTTTTTCCCATCATACACAGTACATTTTGACAAGTGCTGTTAAGCTTTCAGGCAGTGCTTTTATTAAATTTCTCATTTCCTAAGCAGCATTTGAGAGCTCTGTGCGCCAGCTAAAGCTTTTAGAGCAGAGTCGTGGGCAGGTCGGGATTGAATACTTCCTTCTAAACAGTTTCTGATGCGTTCGGTCAAGGCTGAGGGGTGAAAATAAGGGATTCCCTGTTTTGTTCATAAAGGGAAGCCCTGGATGAGAAAATTAGCCTCCCAGTGCTGGGAAGTTTAGAGACATGGTTTTAATTTAGAGTTGAGGAGTGGTCCCATGGATCATCCACATCCACAGGACCATATTTAACATAGTGTGCTCCAAAACCCGTTCCCAGTTAGCTGAAGCTGGTGAAGTTGAAGGAGTCTGGAATTAATTTTAAATCAATATTTTGTTTCTTTTCTGGGAGACCTACCTCTTCTGGGAAAGGGATAAGAAATCAAGGATTTTTTTTTTTTTTTTTTTTTAATTGGACTAGCTGATGCATTTGAGAAAAGGGGTTAGTTTTGAAGAAGGGGCTGAGAGCCTGGAAGTGTCCCAGTTTTATGTGTTAGTCAAAGATACTGGCGCTCTTGTCACTTGTCTTTTAAATCAACATATGTTACATGATACTATTTTGCTTCTCTGTGAAGCTGCATGAAACTGCTCAGTTGTTTGTTAAGCATCTCTTCACAGGTTACTGAGACCCTGGTTGCAACCAGTGTTGTGCTTTCTGGCATGCAAATATGATTCCTTCCCCCTCCAGTTTTGCTTTGCTCCTCGAGTTCAGTTTATTCAGTTCCAAAGAGGGCTGGAAAAACATTGTTATAAAATTATCCTTGACGTTTTGTCTTCTGCCAAGGCAAGGTGCTAGGCAAGCTTTTCAACTCCCAAGATAAGTGTTGCTTCTTTTTTTTTTTTTTTTTTTTTTTTTTTTTCCTCGCTCACAGTGATTCAGACCAGATAACACTGGGAATTCTTTCAAATGTCCTCAAAATGTGAAAACAACAGAAAATAGCAACCATGCAGCTGGAGTCATTAACTTCATCAGAATTAACTTCATAAGAATTTTCCACTTCTTTTTTTTTATAATGATGTGGGCTTTCCAGCCAATAATAATATTTTGGATCCTGCTCTGTGTTGTTAATATCACTTGTCTTCTTTTTCCTTTAACAGCCACAAGTGAGATTACTTAAACTGTGCTTAAGAAACACAAACTCGTATCTTTTTTATAGCTGCATGTTACTGAGACGTTTCAAGTTTTTTACATATGCATGGACTACCATGAAAGTGCTTCTTGTGCTCATAAGCATGCAGCTATGAAATCCTCTGTACTTGAGGTGCTTGGATGCAGGAGCTGGGTGAAACTGTCTTGTTACATTTGGTACATCTTGGAGAGTTACGTGGCTCCATGTTGTTAAAAATCGATTAAATTTTTCAGAGACTGAAGACTGATTATCTGCGTTACAGATCATTTAAGTCTAATTCCCTCTTGCCCAGTTTAATTTACAACAGTAATCATATTTTTAATGTTTGATAAAGTAGTATAATAACTGTTATATTCAGATCAGCACAGAATGGGTAGCATGAAGCTCCTAGACACCATAAGCTAAATACTTGTGTCTTGTGCTGCAGTGCCCTTTCACTTTTAATCTAAGTGTCATGCAAACAAGCTATTTAGATGTGTATCTCTTCATACTGCATGTGCATGTTTGGCAAGAGGCAGCCAGTCCAGATCACCATGTTTTTTTTCCCACCCTACCTGCCAAGCTAGCACAGAACACCCAGTTTCTAGAAGGGAAAGCTTGGCTTATCGGGTTCAAGGAGTATGGAGTATTCATGGTACACAAGACCAGTTAAGTTACGTGTGGAAAGCACACAGGAGTTAATGGGAGTTTTTGGTTATTGCTGCAGGATTCGGCATCATTGAGAGATGCTCTGTGATCCAGACAGTCAAGGGAGTTTAAGATTAAGAAGAAGGTACCTCTCTTACCTCACTGTACCTCTGTTTGCATTTTGAGATTACAGCAAATCCATCCCTATACCTGAAGCTGAGTCAGCAGCTGTGCTGCTAAAGCTGTGCCTGTGTGCTGAGCTCCCCCCAACGTTTCTGAACGCACATTCCACATTGTACAGATTATTAGCTTTCTTCACGTTTTCTTCTCCTCCCTGTTGCCTTGCTCACTTACGATACCACAATGCAGCCACTCAGCGACAGGTCAGAACTGTGCTAGCTAATATGACTGACTAGATTTAGATTTGTTTTGATCTTTGAGCCTTACAGATGGATATCATAATCTCTAATATACAAAACATGCTAATTTATCTTCTTACAGCCTCTGAGAGCAAATCTGACATGTAGCTGAAAGGAACTATCCTTTCTTGTCCTAGGAAGACACCCCCCTGCAGGTGGGCACTGGTGAAAATGGGGGATACAAGAGACATCTGTCCTCACCTGGATTCCATAGGAGAGGTGACCAGGGATGATCTGCTGCTCAAATCCAAGGTACAGGGTGTGCTGGTTGTCAGTCCTTTCCCTTTTTCATGCACGGGTTTGCATGTTTGCTTTTTGGAGAATAATGCTGCCTATCTCTGTAGAGGAGAGGCAGAAACTCTTCCAATGCTGATGTACCCTGCCCACGTCCCATAAAGTAAACCTTTGTTGGCCCCATCTGATCTATTTCTCACTGTCATTTTATCCTGCTCAAATGTGTCACTCCGCTAAAATGCTGCAAAGTGTGTATTTAATTGGAAGTATGGGATTAAGAAATGAAATACTGCAGGCAGGCAAGGGCTGTTTTATAGAGAAGTTTCCCACTCTTGAAGGACTAGGTTACTTAAAAACCAAACAAGCAAACAAACCTTCTTTTATCATGAATATGCAGGGGACTTGCCAGTCTTGTGGAGCTGTGGGACCAAATCTCTGGGCTTGTCTTCAGGTAAAAATGGTTTGCTATTTGTGTGCATGATATGGTGGGACTTCCCTTTAATGTATTTTTTTTAAAAAAAGAAGGTATTGTTCTGAAAAAAAAAAAAAGCGAGAAGCAAAGGGGGGGTTCACAGTAGAACTATCCACAGGTTTTTGATGGATTCCAAGGAAAACTTTTTTATCCCTAGATAAAAGACTAACACTGTCAGAATATGCCAGGGTGTAACAGTTCATTCCTCATAGGTGACTGCCCCCTGGTAATCCCCATAAGAAGGAATAAAATAAAATGGCCAGCACTGACTGCTGGCTGCGTCCTGCCTCTGCTGGCCACTGTGGAGGGAAGCTGCAAGTGTGAGACCTCAGAAGACATGGCTCAGGGCAGCGAGGCGAAAGGGGATGAGAAGGGGCATGCGGGCGGGCAGGGGGAGTTTATTTTTACACTGGATGCCCAGATGGTTTGAGACTGCTTGGATGAGCTGCCCATTGGAGCAGTTGCCTTGGAATGGAGCCTTTACGTGGGTGCAGACCTGGTTCCAGGTTTTCTTCCTTAAATCAAGCAATTCCAATTTCTCATCTTATTCTGGGCCCTGAATCAAAAACAGGTTAGAAAACTGGCAAGATCAATTCTGAAGTTGCAGCTGCTGGTGGGACTGGAGTTGCAGACTATTTTGTGAAGGGTCTAATTTGATGCGTCCATTGTAATTTTGCTCTTTTCTCTCACTAGATTGGTTGTCCTTATGTTGGTTGTGGGGAGTCCTTTGCTGACCACAGCACACTTCATGCACAGGTGAGCTTTGTTGTCCATCTTAAGACAGAGTCAGATTTTTCCCATTACCTATCCTCCTCTAGCCTGTTCTGGTAGTCCAGTGTTTCAACTTGAGCCAGCTGTAAAATCATTCATTATTTCACCTTTTAATTTTTAGGCCAAAAAGCACAACCTGACGGTGAATCTGACCACTTTCCGTGTCTGGTGCTATGCTTGTGAAAAGGAGGTGTTCTTGGACCAGCGCCTGGCAACGCACACGCAGTCACCGCCAGTGAAGTTCCCTGAACCGGTGGGTCTGTGTCACAGCGTGGCAGAGTGGAATGCTTGGCAGAGGTTTTGTTTACCTGTTGCAGAATTAGCCAAGAAGTTTCCACTATTAGTCAGGCTTTTGCTGTGATGGGAACTCTTTCACTGAAGGTGGTCACCTGTAGCCAGAGGCCCAACAGCTTTGCCTTATAGGATCTCCCAGCAAGAACACTTCCAGATGACTTGAATATCCATTCTGACATTATTTTTAACCTTTCCTAGCTTCTTCCATGGGGCATCTGTTTCTGGGAGGAACCACAACAGCTGTCACATCTTCATTTTCAATGCATGGCCTATGGAAATTTTAGCTGTCAGACCAGAAGCACATGTTCTTGTGACACTGCTGCATATTCCTGATGCCTCTCTTATCATGTGTACTGGAAGCAGTAATGGTACCATTTCCACACCCTCCTTGCATTAGTGAGAAGGGGGGGACAGTGCAACTGGTTCTTCTCTCTCCAGAATGCTTTTTTTTTAAAGGCTGGCTCGATTTATGTGTATGATAATATCTCTTACAACTCATCTTTAAAAGCAGGCCTCTCACTGATGCTTATTTCTTTGTCTTTAATCTAGGATTCTCCATTGCCTGCTCACCCTTTGAAAGCTGTTCCAATTGCAGTGGCTGATGAAGGTGAATCTGAATCAGAGGATGATGATTTGAAACCAAGAGGTAACTCTGCATCGAGTTGATGAAAGGGCTGTGAGGCTAACTCTGCAATCTGTAGGATTTAGCCTAGAAAGGGCTGAATTCCCTCTCCTTTGGGGAGGAATGTAGAAAGCAGCATGTCTGGAAAGTGTTTCATGCCTCTCTTGTTTGTGCTTTAGGCCTTACTGGAATGAAAAATCTTGGGAACTCCTGCTACATGAATGCAGCCCTTCAGGCTCTCTCTAACTGGTAGGCACTAGGGCCCTTCAGCAGAGTCTTTACGAGACGTCACTAAATATCAAAAGTGGCACCTCCAATTCAAGAGTCTTGCAAAGAGAAATCCGCCAGGCTAGGTACAGAAAAATGTAGTGTTTGTTTAGGGTAACAGAAGTTTTACAGTAGGAAACAGAATGAATAGCCAGCTTGTGGCTACATACAAGACTCATGTGTAGATTAGTGCTTGAAGTAAAACGTTAACATTTCTACTGTGACAGAAATGTATTTATTGCATGGGAAGGCATGTCGCATCTCTTTGTTCTCCCCACTAATACCTTTCTAACAACCCATATTCTAAAATATTTGCTAGCTATCCTGTTGAGAACTATACTGGGAACAGATTCAGGTCAGCCTTTTTGTTCCGAGTTAGGAGTCAAGTCTACATCTGGAATCGCTTCTTTCCTGGATTTAAAAACCCTGTATCTTAAGCATGCTTTCAAAAACACATACATTTAAGTTTTGATAAACCCTTAAATAGAAGCAGAGGAGAAATCTGTGCACTGAGTTCTTCTCTTTTTTTTCTTGTAGCCCACCTCTCACACAGTTTTTTCTGGAATGTGGTGGACTGGTCCGTACAGATAAGAAACCAGCACTGTGTAAAAGTTACCAGAAGTTGGTGTCTGAGGTTTGGCATAAGAAACGGTGAGTGGTCACTCCCTAATTTAATTTGGACAGGTTTCCTAATTATGTTAGTTGTGAAGTCTGGCATCAGCAAAGAGGAAATTTGACCTTCAGGGATAAGTGCATTGTCTAAGGCAGTCAGTTCCAACCCCATGTAGATGGGTGTGCAAGGATTCCCCCATATCTAGGAGATCCCCTGTCCTGCTACTGGTGATAAAATGGGCATATGGATGTCAGTGAAATGAATACATTCTAACATTACAACTTTGAAAAGGTATATTTTTAATATATATAGCTTCCCTGTTGGCAATGAAGAAAAAAACATAGAATAAGGGAATACTTTTGGCCATTTCTGAGTATTTTGCATGGACTGACCAGCAATTAATGGCACTGCTTTTGATTAGCAGAGGGATTGATGATTTGGATGGGAAAAGTGATAGATTTTTATGGAAGGTATTGGAAAATGCAGGTGATGTTTTGTGAAGTGTTTGTTATCGGTTCAAAGTCTAGACCAGTTAACAGACAGTGTAAAATAATGCCGCCCTGTTTAAATCTGAAGATGTCTGCTTTGGGCAATCAGTTGAAAAAAATCAAACTAGGAATTTAAATGGCATTGCACGTTTCTTTCATGTTAGCTGTTAACAAGGGATAAGTAAGATACAGAGCAAAAGTGATCAGTGTCTTTCTGTAGACTTTGAAGTAATATAATGTCATTTTAATATCGGTTTTATTTATCTCATTTACTGGGTGATCAGCCCACCCAGATTTTGAGACAGACATGGTGCTGCAAAATCAAACCAAGTAACTAATTGCAAAGCCCCGCTCTGTAGAGAATCACTTGAGACCATTCAAAGTGTGGACAGAGCTTTAAATTAAATGTGCTCTAGGGAAGAGTCTCTCTGGAAGGATAGACTGAAATGACTGCGAGATGGTTTCTGTCTCTTAATTCGTATGTCATCCAACTAATAGAAAAATATATGCCCAGGCTTTGCAGGTACATAATTATCTTTTGTCCTCTTTAACTAGTTACCACACCCTGTTTTATGGTTTATTACACAAACTGGCTCTAGGCCTGATAAGCAAACTAACTTCTTTTTTTTTTCTTTTCCATATCTAAACAGCCCGAGTTATGTTGTTCCAAGCAGTCTGTCCCATGGAATTAAACTTGTCAACCCCATGTTCCGAGGCTATGCACAGCAGGTGGGGCCTCAACAAAAACATGCCATTATTCCAAAGATGGGGGAGGGATTTTTCTTCCTGCAGCACTGGTGCTTGTGTTCAGAAGGAAGAGCTTGAGCTCAGGGGTCATGCCCAGTTTGTGTCAGTATTAGTGACCTGACAGAGTACTTGGGTGGGATTTAGGGGACCTGGATTCTCTTCCAGGCTCTGCCTCTAGCTTACTGGTACCAAATCACTTTCCTGTGTCAGCTTTCTCACCTCTGAAATTATGATGGTCACCTCCTTTATAAAGGGCTTTGAGATCTATTGATGCATGCTATATGAGGGTTAGGTATTATTTATTCACATCAGAGCTGAGAAACCTGGATAAATCTGTAGTGAAAAGTTAAAGATAGGAATGTTCTATATTCTTTTTCTGGGGAATAACATTTAAATATAGTATCCTTTTTTTTCTTTGAAGTTTTTATCAGTATATCACTTGTGTTTATTCTTTAGAATAAAATGTAAGCATCAAACCATGATTAGAAAATTTAGAAGAGAAGTGACAGTACATCTGAGCTGTGATACTACTGACAGGGAATCAAAACAGAATAAAAATCATGATTAATGAAAGAACTTCTATATTTATCTTTGATGTGAAGTATGTTGGATTGGAAAACTCTCAGCTGTGAAGAGATAAAGTTGAAAGGAAGACAGGGCAGGCTAAAAGCCAAACTTCCATAAAATAACAGGAACATCATAATTAACTTTCTGGAGTTGTCAAAATACCAAGTTGCTTTCCAGCAGATCCTTTGAAGCCAGCGTATCAGCTCTTTTACCATGGATTATGAACGTAGCAGCTTGCACCTAGACTGTATAGTCTTTGGGTTCTGGTTCCATTCTCCATTTATTAAAGATTTTAATCTGCCCTCTCTGAGAGGGATTGCCATGAGCAGAAGTCAGTGTTCATGAAATTTGTTTTGCTGGCAAGAGTCTGTTTTCTACAGCCTGCTGACTTTATTAGGTTTCTCCTTGTCTCTCACCTCTTATCACTGGTAAACCCCTAATAAATAAGCTCATGGTTTACATACTGTGACTGCTCTCTGGATTTTCCTGTCTTTCAGCTGAAGATGTTCAGATAAAAATTGGGCCTTTTATCATTTAGGAGTTAAAAAAATTTATGTAGCAGACAGGCTTCTTGGTACACCGCCACGGTACTCTCTCTGCTTTAGTAGGGTCTCCTCGTGTGGCAGAGGTGGCTAAACTTTGTGGGCAGCATGGAAAGAGGCTGGGAATGGAGCCATCTCCTCTTTTGCCCCCCTTGTTTGCTCCACTTCTGGATGGATACTAACACGGAATTACTCCTGGCTTTCAGGACACTCAGGAGTTCCTGCGGTGCCTGATGGATCAGCTTCACGAAGAACTGAAGGAACCTGTTGTTGCAGAGATGAGGGATTTGGATACCAGTGACCAGGACGACAAGCGAGAGGGTGACCGAAGTCCTTCGGAGGATGAGTTCCTCTCCTGTGACTCGAGCAGTGACAGGGGTGAAGGAGATGGTCAAAGTCGGACCACAGGGGCCTTGGGCAGCAGCACCCTGGCAGAGACAGAGTTGTTGATCCAGGATGAAGCAGGGAGAGGGATCTCCGAGAAAGAGAGGATGAAGGACAGAAAGTTCTCCTGTGGCCATCGGCGCAGCAACTCAGAGCAGGTGGATGAGGATGCAGATGTTGATACTACTATGATGCCAGTTGATGGTAGAACCTCACCGGAGATGCTGCCAGCTCCCCGTCCTGCCAGCCCATGTAGAACACCAGGTATACACCTCTTCCAGTCATGTTATTGGTGAGAAGACATGTTACCACCCTACACAGGGACTGTGTTGTAGTGCAGTGACAAACAACACATAATGGGACTGTTCCTTCCATGGGTTTCAAGAGATTTTGCATCCAAGATTTTCCTCAGTGCCCCTGGCAGTAGTTCTGCCTTTGTGCACAGTTGTTGCTTTAAGAAAATCTAAGGTGTGAGCCAGAAAGGTGCTTAACTGGGCTAAAGTGCTATGGAGCTGAGCAAAGACTGTGTCCCGAAGGCAGTGATAGCTGTCTCTGCCAAACACTGTATTTATGCCTTTTTGTAATTTTAGAAAAAGGTTTTGTATATGTACTTTGCTTTATCTGATAGGCTGGCCTGGGGAAATACTAGCTGTGGGAAAGGCGTGGAAGGAGGTCTTTGTTAGTGTTGGACTGTGGGCTTTGTGGAGAGAAAAGGCAGAGGCACAGTCTGTGCGTTTCTGTGTCTTAGGGAAAAAAGAGCAGCAGTTAAGTCGTAGGTGTGGAGTCACCTCAAACTGAACATATCCGATCTTTCAACACTTCTTTATGTAAGAGTCTTACTCTGCCAACTGGCACCGAAGACAGCAATGCTGTTTATGTGGATTAGGGATACAAGAGCAAGCTGTAAAACCTAATTAGTCATAAGTGTGAAAAAATGGCGGATTGGTATTTTTTTTTAATACGTAATTATTAGCTGTTCAGTATAGCTCTGTATGCACTCTTACCCATGCACTGGGGGAGCTGTCCCTGCCAACCCGTGCAAGCAGGACAGTTAATAGACACTGAAAGGTACATATTGGGAAAGATTCTGTGCTGGATGGCAGAGCTGGCCTGGCATTGACTGCAGTGGGGTTGCTTTTCGTAACTGGGGTTTTCACCAGTGCTCTTCTCCCTCCCCATTTTCCCAACAGAACCTGACAATGACGCCTACGTGCGTTGCTCCTCACGCCCCTGCAGTCCAGTCCATCATGAAATGCACTCCAAGCTCTCTAGCAGTCCTCCTCGCTCCAGTCCTGCCAGGCTTGGACCTTCCTACGTACTCAAAAAAGGTAATGCAGAGTGTATGCTGGGAGACAAAGAGGGGAGCATGTAGAGGAGGAGGGCTTCATTTACAGTAGAGAGGAGGAGTCCGTCATGATTCTTGATTAGCAGTTGTAAGAAGTGCTGATTCCCCTGGACATCAGTGCTTTTAAAATAGAACAAGGCAAAGTCTACAGTAAACCTGCAGGTAAAGGCAAACTCTGGGCGCAATAGATGTTCTAGGATGCTCTTGTGTTAGAGCTTGGAATGATTTCTCTGCCTGCATCTGCATGCTGTGTTTGTTATTAATAAAATGGTTATGAAGTCCCAGGCACAAGCTCTGTCCCTTTAGGGGAGTGTGGAGATGTGTAAACATTTGTCTGCCAGACTTGAATTTCATAGCATGTGGGCCAGAGAACTGTAAGATGATGTTGCTGAGGGAGGGCTTCCTGCCTCGCAGGCATCGCGGGCTCGCAGTCCTAGAATTCAGACTGCAGATGTCAATCCAGTGGTGAGGCGTCAGAGCGGAGCCTGGCTTCTGTTGTTATCAAACTGGTCTCTTCATCTCAAGCAAATTGCAAATTGAGATCCCTCAGCACTGCGTAGTCTGAAAACACAATGGCATGTGCTTCTACCGCTGTCCCTACAGCTGTTCAGTGATGACATTCTTTCTTCAGCCCTGTCCCAGCCCCTGGCTGAGGTCAGCACAGCCACAGATGTTCTGGCTGGATAAAAAGCGCTCTGTCTCCATGCACGTGTGCGTGGGCAAGAGGGTTTGTTATTAAACAGAACTGTGTGTTTGGCCAGTCCCTGCTGTGGAGTGTCCTCTCCAGTGCAAGACACCTGGGGAACACATGGGAAATGTCCGAGGGGAAAAACAAAGGACAAAGTACACGGACAGGTTGAGGGGGGAGAGGAAGTGAAGGGTAAAGCTTAGAGCAAAATGTTGCAAGACCTCAGAAAAGCAGGGGCTCTCTGTGGCAGGGCCAGGCTTCTAAACATGGAGTAAAAGGATGAAAACAGCATTTCCAGTAAATGCTGGAACAATTTCTGCCTGCTGAGAGCTGGCACATTTGTGTTGGTTCAGTTGGCTGCCTCCCCCTTTCTGTACCACCCGAAGCAGTGGTGCGTTTCGTGTCTGTTTATAACAGGCTTGTGAGTGGCACCTGGAGAGGCAGGACAGCACTTGTCCTGTGTTCTTGTGTGGCTGTGTGACTCTACTGAGACCAGAGATGGGGAGAGAGTTGCTACATGATGGGTCTCCCTTGTTTGTCTTTCAGCCCAGATGCAGCCTTCTGGGAAAAAGAAGAAAGAACTTCGTTATCGCAGTGTGATTTCTGACATCTTTGATGGCTCCATTCTCAGCCTGGTGCAGTGCCTCACCTGCGACAGAGTGAGTCGTCAGGAGGCTGTCAGGCAAAGAGCACAGTCTCCTCCCTTGTAGATCTCTCCTTAGGAAATGGTGCTCCTTTTTCCAGAGCCCGTGGGATGCAGTAGGGCCTGCTGGAATGATGATAGGTGGATGGCGGGGGAGGTGTGAGAAACCTGCTGTGGCAAGAAGTCTTATTTCTCTGTAGGGATCTGTTTGCTTATTCGTGTTACTGAATTGGCTTAGCAATATCATGTTCACATTAGAAAACTCATTCTAGTGCTGCAAAAACTCATCCTGCTGACAGCAGCGAAGAATAATTAGCCAGAGCCAAGTTGCTCTTACTGCCAGCTCAGGTTTGTAGCCTAGACAAAATCCAAGCAGAGATAAAAGGTGATGAAGGTCAGGTCCCAGCTCCATTACACCCACAGGAAACCCAGACCTCTTCCTCTTGGATATTTCCAGGTTTCTACAACAGTGGAGACATTCCAGGACCTGTCACTCCCGATCCCAGGGAAGGAGGACTTGGCCAAATTGCACTCTGCCATCTACCAAAACGTGCCAGCTAAGACAGGGGCGTGTGGGGACAACTATGCCTCACAAGGCTGGATTGCTTTCATCATGGAGTACATCCGGAGGTGTGTTCCCTATGCAGAACCTCTTTTTTCTGGGGTTTCCCCTGCTGGAAGGCAGCTGTCCCTAACCAGTGGTGCTTCCAGCAGAATGCCAGTTGTAACCATTCCTTGGAGGACAGTGTGTGGTACCTCACAGGTCTGAAACCTTCTCATGTAAACCAGTTACTGCTGTTCCTCTAGTTCTGTCATACACCTGGAGATCTCTTGTGCAGCTGATAATCCCTCACTTATTTATGCCTTTAGCTCAGTCTTGCCCTCCAGAGCAAATTAATTCCTGATGTAGTTTTCCAAGTCATTTCCAGTTTGAACAGTCGCAGTAGGAGCATCAGCTGAGAGAAATCACGCTTTCTCTGCTCCTCTGGGATGTGTGATGAGCTTAGGACCTACACCTAGAGGGAAACCCATCGTCCCTTTGGGGTTTTATACCCCAAAGTGTCCAGCTATTTTATGTATAATCCCCTCTCTTCTGCAGATTTGTGGTGTCCTGTATCCCTAGCTGGTTTTGGGGTCCTGTTGTGACGCTGGAGGATTGCCTCGCTGCCTTTTTTGCAGCAGACGAGTTGAAGGGTGAGTTTTCTTCAGTGGGGTCTGACAGCATGAAACAAGGCAAACCACATGGAGGAGTATTTCACATAACATTTTGGAGGTGGATTAAATCTGGAAATCCTGCCTCAGTATTTCACGTAGAGACTGGCAGTACCAAAAGTTGGCAGCTCAGCATCTCTGAGCAGAAGTGAGTTTTTCCACCTGCTCGGGGGTGGGAAATCTGAGTGAGTGTCCTCAATGGGGAGCAGCCGTGGCTGTTGGTTGGCTGTGAGTGCTGTGGCTCCTTAGCCTTTTTGGTTTCTTCACTTTTTTCATCAATTCCTTAAACTCTAGAGGACTCAAACAATTTACTGTATTCACTTGTGTCAGTGGGCAGTTACATACTTTTCTGCTAGGTGACTGCATTTTTTTTTTTTTGCTTACATATACTGAGAGAAGGGCTGGTTTTGATCTCTTCTCACCCTCCCTTCCTCAAGAGGTGGCTTAACTTGGTTTCTCTGCACTGGATGGGAGTGTAGCCATATCAGCATTGTGCTCCGAGTAACTGCATAGTGGCTTTCTTCTCTTCATCTACAGGGGACAACATGTACAGTTGTGAACGGTGTAAAAAGTAAGTTTGCATTATCTGTATCGTCTTGTATTTCTGGAACTTGATTTCTCTGTACTGCTGTCAAACTTTCTGCTATGCCCTCTGCCTGGACATTTCTTCTGCTGAGTGTCATGTAAGTTCTGCCTTGCCTTCTGCTAGGGTTCTGGTCTTGAGAGGTCACTGGTGGCAGACAGGAGAAGTGCTGGTTTTGGGGGGAAAAGAAAGGAAGAAGGATCTGAACAGGGATGTGGCTTGGCAGTAACGGAGCTATTAGAAAGAAGGGGGGTGACAAACTGCTCATGCCACGCCTCATTTAGGAAGGATGCTGCAAAAAGCCTGAATTTGTTGCTGCTGGAAGTCAGGATTTGTCTTGGATTTCAAAGTGAGCAAGACCCAGCCTTGCCCTTTGGCATCCCTTTGCTTTAGAGATTTCTCACAGCTAGTTTCTCTTCCTCCCTCAGACTGCGGAACGGAGTGAAGTACTGCAAAGTCCTCCGGCTACCAGAGGTGAGCAAAAGCACCTGGTTTCCTCATTTTCTTTTAGCAGCCGCTGAGGAAGTAAGGAGGCTAGAGGTACAATAGCAGTTTGTTTTGGTGGCAAAGCCCTGTATCTAGACCAGAAGAGACTTCCCCGTTCTAAGCTGACAGGCCAGCAGGATTCCTGACTAACAAGTGCAAAGATCAGATGCAGAGAGATGTGCTGTTTTGTCAGAATACCCACGGCAAAACTGCGCTTTGGTGTTCTCTGTCCTTTGGTCTTCCAGATTCTTTGCATCCACTTGAAACGGTTCCGGCATGAAGTGATGTATTCCTTCAAGATCAACAGCCACGTCTCCTTCCCCTTGGAAGGGCTGGATCTGCGGCCTTTCCTAGCCAAGGAGTGTGTCTCCCAGATCACCACCTACGATCTCCTGTCAGTCATCTGTCACCACGGCACAGCAGGCAGTGAGTCCTTCTGTGCGCACAGGCAAACAGGAACGAGAGGAGTGTGAGCAAAGCAGCGGGCTGTGCCAGGACCAGGCAGTACCCCTCTGGGGTGAGGTGCAGCGCCAGGCCTGCCCCCTCCGTTCCCAGGCTTGCTCAGCCTCTGCCCTTTGAACAGGGAACCCAGCAGCTCCCGACAGACACCCTGCAGCTATTTCAGCCTTGCTGCTGGCTTGGTGCAAACCCTTCCCCCATGTTCTGTCTCACCGAGAGGCCCTTTCCAAGGAAGGCAAATCAGGGTGACAGTGCCAGGCACCCTGCTCCTGCAAAGCTTGCCTGAGCAGGAATTACTCCTTTTTTTTTTTTTTTTTTTTTTTTTTTTTTCCCTGGCTCTCTGTTCTCTGCCCACAGCCAATCCTGTTTGTGCTGCCGACACAATCCAGCCCTGATTTCTGTGCTCCGAATCCCAGCAGTGTGGTGTTTTCTCTGTCACAGGTGGGCATTACATAGCCTACTGCCAGAACGTGATCAACGGCCAGTGGTACGAGTTTGATGACCAGTATGTCACTGAAGTCCACGAGACCGTGGTACAGAATGCAGAAGCTTATGTCTTGTTCTACAGGTGCGTTGTGCCCTGGCTACAGCAGTCCCTTGCTGGTTATAGAAAACCTAGAAATGCATTTCACAAACTTCTTACAGTTTTCAGGAATCGCTTAATTTTCGTTTCCTTTCCCTACTTAAGGAAAAGCAGTGAAGAAGCTGTACGAGAGCGCCAGAAGGTTGTGTCCCTTGCCAGCATGAAGGAGCACAGTTTACTCCAGTTCTACATCTCTCGAGAGTGGCTCAATAAGTTCAACACCTTTGCTGAGCCTGGTCCCATCACCAATCACACCTTCCTGTGCTCTCACGGAGGTAAGGCAGCAGGACCTGGGAAGAGTGACTCAGCTGTACCTTTGTGCTTCCTGGTGCATTAACAGATGCAGAAAAGCAGCTCCAGCTGTCTTCCTGGTACAGCACTTGCTGCAGTAGGATCCTTCTTTGGCAGAAACTCCAGACGGCTCAGGGAGAGACGAGACAAATGCCCCATTGTCCTGCTGATCAGAGGCCGGGAGGGATGCGTAGTGCTGGGAAACAACACTCTTCAGTTCTCTATTTGTTTTTGAAAACAAACCTGTAAAAAGCAGATAAGAGCATTTATCTGTGTTACCCTACCAGCAAGGCTGGCCTTCAGTGTTTGTGTGGAGAATGGAGCACGTGCTCCTGAAGAGAGCTGATACCACGTTTTACTGTTCTGCTTCCTCATCTGTCATGCTGGGGAGTCCTCTTGTGTATAAATCTCCAATTGGAAATGAAGCACTTGATTAGAATTGAGGCTGTGAATTGAGAAACCTTCACAGTTAATGAACTCTTGACTGTCTTCCATTACCATAAGAAGCAGATTCTGGAATAGGAGTTTTCAGCAAAGAAGATCTGCCTCTTTATTTGTGTTTTTACTCATCGGTAATGAGTTCTCTTGTTAACTCTCCCTCTTCCCTTTCCTCCACAGGGATCCCTCCCAATAAATACCACTACATCGATGACCTGGTTGTGATTCTGCCCCAAAATGTGTGGGAATATCTCTACAACAGGTGAATATGGCTGTTTCATTCTTTCTCCCATTGAGTTTTGGTTTTTGTTTCACACACCTCGGGCAATGACCAAGACACAGCGCCTTCCCAGGGCACCTCAAAGACATGCAGTACTGGGTGTGGATTGGCAAAGACTGGTATTTGGTAGAGCCTCCACATCTAAACCAGCATGAACTGTGTCAGTGAGTTGTCCCAGAGCAATATGTGACCCTCCCCGTGCTACAGCAGTTCTCTCCACTCAGCTGCAGTTGCAGCTCCCTCACCAGTGCCTGGAGCAGTATAAAACCCATCTCTGTGGGATGCAGGGCTGGGGAGCGTTTCCATTCCCCTGCAGTTCTCTGTTCCCCTCCCTCTTTTCCTGTGCGCAGGTTCGGGGGTGGCCCCGCCGTGAACCATCTGTACGTGTGCTCCGTTTGCCAAGTGGAGATCGAAGCACTTGCCAAGCGCAGGAGAATCGAGATCGACACCTTCATCAAGGTTCGTAGGGGAAGCACCTGGAAAGGAGGGCGAGGGGCAGAGGTGGGAAGTGGAGGCCTGTCACAGACTGTTAGTGGAAAACTGCCCTGGCTTTCCAGAACGTGATCTACAGCAGGGCCAGGAGATTGACCTTGGGGTTCCCCAGCGCTGCAGCACGGGGAGGGGCAGCTGAACACGATAATGCTGCGTGTGGCTGCCTGCACACCCAGTCTGAAACCATCGGGGTCTCCTGCCAGCTTTGCTGAGCAGGAACGGGTGGTGAGGGAGGTGGTGGAGTGACATGGGGTTCTCCTAAAGGCTGCCTTACAGTGAACAGAAGGGGCTCCCCCAGATCTCTGACTAAATCCCTCTGTGTCTGTTCTCTGCTCTCCCAGCTGAACAAGGCTTTCCAGGCAGAGGAGTCTCCAAGTGTCATCTACTGTATCAGCATGCAGTGGTTCCGGGAGTGGGAAGCCTTTGTCAAGGGGAAGGATAACGGTAAGAAGCCAGAGAGCTCTGGTCTGGAATGGAAATGAGTTTTATTTGCTCCTCAGCGAGTGCTGCACCTGACTGGTGGGACTTGAGGCTGAACAGAGTTCAGGCACCAGCCACCCAAGCTGCTGGCAGGTCCCCAAGAGCAGGGCAGAAATAACAAGAGAACTAGCTCAGGAAGTAAGAAGCTGAATCTGGTGGCAACATGGAAAGCAGAATGGTTTTTTGACATGTTTGTTCTCCTCTGACAGAGCCTCCCGGACCAATTGACAACAGCAAGATTGCACTTGCAAAAGCAGGTGGCCACGTGCAAGTGAAGCAGGGTAAGGCTTGTGCTTCCTGCCTTGTGCGCCAAAAAGGTGAAGGAGAATGTTCTGCTGGGTCTGGCAGTGCAGAGTGAAGTGCTCACAGAGCAAGACGGTGTTGCTGGGGGTGACAATTCCCTGCACAACCCGCCGCTGACTGCCCCGCGCGAGCCAGCCCCGCTCTGCAGCGGCAGCTCCTGCCTGACCCTCTCACTGCACTGGAGCCTGCAGTCCCCCTCCTGCTGGTGCTGCTCCCCAGGCCCCTTCCACCACTCCCCTTTGCCCCCCCGTGGTGTGGGAGCTTTGATCTGCCGTTGCTTTTGGCTTCATCTTCACTCAGCATCTGCTGTGGTCCAGCTGGTGAAATCACACGGCCTGTGCTGCGCTCGCTGGGCTCTGCTGCGAGCAGATGAAAGTTGGCTTTGCGTCTCGGTTACCTCTCAGAGCGACCCCTCCTGCTTTTCTCCTCCTCTGCAACCTTTACGGCAAAGTTTTCTGCTCCCCCTGCTTTGACCACCTTCTGTTGTCCCTCCTAGGACAGCTTGGAGGGGGGTTTCAGCCTCTCTGAGGCAGCGCAGCCCCCGCTGCCCGGGGTGAGGCTGCGGGACCTCTCGGGGCTCCTTCCCTGCCGTGCCCGAGGGGTGGGGCCGGCCCCGGTATCACCGGCTCTTGCTGCTCAGTTCCTCTCAGGGAAGGGCAGGAGTGACCCCGCAGCGGTCAGTGACGCTGCCGAGGAGCCCCGGTGGCACCACGGGGGGCTGGTGGGGACCCCTGTGGCTACCGCTGCAGGGACCACGGGTGCTTTCCCCGGGGGGGCCCGTGTGGGGGGAGGCAGCGGAAGAGGACGGCGTGGGGCGGTGGGTGCCCCAGCCCTTCCCTCCACCGATGGCTGCTGTTGTCCCCCCTCAGGTGCCGATTATGGGCAGATTTCCGAGGAGACGTGGATTTATTTAAGCACACTGTACGGAGGGGGCCCGGAGATTGCTATCAGACAGAACCTGGCCCAGGTCCAAGAACTGGAAAACCTACACGGGGAGCAGAAGATTGAAGCAGAGACCCGGGCTGTGTGATCTGCGCGGGACGGGGCAGGGAAGGTACGGCACAGGTCCGTCCGTGCGGGGATGGAAGGCTGGGGAACCCCGAGGAGCCAAACCCCGTCCCTTGGCTGGTGCTCGAGGTGTGGGCAGCTCCCACCACCACCTCTGGGGAGGGCACGTTTCCTCCGCCGTCCTGTCACGGGGCTTTGCACAGAGGGGGGGTGCGGAGCAAGACTGGGAGAAAAGCAGCTTCTCTCATTCAGCTCCGGCTGGGGCTGTGGCAGGAGGCAGCAGCCAGACTCACCAGGACGGGTTTTGACCCGAGCCCTCTCCTTTTTTTGTTTGCCTGCAAGAACCAGCACTCCCAGCTTGCCCCCAGTGAACTGAGGCTCTCTGCTCCTTCGCAGGTTTTGCTTTTGGCACTTTTAAACTCAAATGTATAAAAGGTAATAAAACGTCACGTTTCCAGCGGGCAGTGTTACAACTAGAGGAACCTGTTATTTGAAGCTGACTAAAGCCACAACGTCTCCCAGCAGTTTTGTGCTGGTGGCGCACAGCTGTCACAACCTCCTGGTTTTGCTCTTTATCCAATTCTTGTAAATTCAGTTGCAATCAAGTAAGAAATTTTGAAAGAGGAAGTTTCTTTCTCCCCTAACCCCTAAAGCCACACCTTCACAGTCACACGGAATTTTTTTTTTTCTCCTTGTATCTGATTTCACGTGTTCAGCACATTTTCAGAGAACAAAGCTGAAAGAGTCCCCCCTCCCCACGGCTTCCCACCACGTTCTTTCCGCTCTTGGCAGCTGTGGGGTGCAGCCCCCGGGTGGGACATGAGCAGTTTAACCTGGGAGCTGGGGGACACGGGCTTTAGGGCTCCTGCTTCACAACCCCCTTCTCAGCCCGACCCCGCTGTAAACCTCGAGCTGTTCCACGTCCGTCCCGAGGAGTGAAGGGGCGCAGAGCCTGCCCAGAGGGGTCACCCTGGATGGGGCTGAGCAGGCTCAGGGGCTGCTGGAGCAGTTTTTTTAGGAAGGAGCTGTTTTCTGCCGCTCCCCCTCCATGCTGAGGTCATTCCAGCTTCTCACCCCAGATGTCGTTTGTGTACACAGTGGCTCATTTAATGAACAGAAATAACTTGCTCCCCGATCTGCTGCCACTACCACAGCCAAGGAGCATCCAAGAGCAGGCAGTGGGGAGAGGAACAAAGGCCAAAAAGGCTCAACACTAATTTGCTCAGCGGGGCTATTCCTGAAAGCTCTTTGTTCACCTCGTAAGGCAGAAAGGCAATAGTTAAATCTTTAATGGAAGCAGAGCAGGGCAGAGGCGGCCTCTCAGGGGTTGAGGAACCAAACCTCGATTCCACGGGGCTGGAACCTGACTGATTCCACAGGGTCAACCCTGGCCGTGGTGGTACCAGGCGCAGCACAGGTACGCAGCTCCCCACGTAAAACAGGACGGGGTGGGAGGGGAAGGTGGTTCTCTGACATAGAGATAGAAGGGGGGACAGGGTGTAGGACAGGAGAGTTTGAAAATACAAATGTGGCCTTCAGGTTTTTTTTTTTTTAGACCAAATGTTTGCTGCAAACAGCAACTTCTTCTTTAAAAGTCTGTAAATGGTTCAGCATGTTCATTTTACTATGCTGTTCATTGGCTGCTTGTATATACCCAGCCAGGCCCGAGGGGAGGTCAGAGAATGAGCCACTGTTGGGATTTCTCATTGTTTTAAGCTGTCTTTGTTAAGCCACTGCAGCCGCCTTTGAATCTGCTGCAGAGCCCGTAGGGCTGCATGTCTGTGTTGTCCGTGCTGTTCCCAGGATGCTGTACAGATTGTAATAACGCTCCTGTGCTTAAGTGTTACACCTTGTGCTGAAATTGTGTTCCAATAAATACACCTGCATTCAACACGTGGCTGCCTGCCTGGCCTGGGGAGAGGGTCTGACAGCTTCCAGGGAGCTTATGGGGTTAGCGAAGAAAAAATGTTAAAAATTTTTAAAAATCATAAAATCCAAACTTCTGCTTCTACAGTAAGAGAAGCCCCTGAGCAGCAGCGAGCAGGGCTGTGGTAGCCCGAGTCCACTAAACCATACTGGGCTCGTTCAGAGGAGGGCGCCTGCTCCTTTCTGTGGCTGCTGACAAAGGCTTCCTCGCCGGGTTTCATTTACCCAGTTTCAGCCGAGTTTGTCTCCAAGGCCCTGGTGTCTGGAAGCGTGTGCTACTCCCATCGCTGCTCTGAAAGGAACTCGCGAGGGAAGTAGCTGAAGTTTCGCTGAGCTGTTCTAGGTTTCTAGAAGCGTTTTCTACTGAAGCGTCCTCCCTGCTGTGAGCTGCCTCCGCGGTGCCAGGGACAGGGGAGAGCAGGAAGGGCTCTGCCCCCGGGGATCACCCGCCCTCGGCCCCAGCTAAACCCGGAGATGGCTGAAGAAACCGAGCGCGGCCCGGGGGGAGAGGGACGGGCAGCTTGTTCTTTAGCAGCCTGAAGTCAACCGTCTAAACTCGCATCCCGCAAACAAACCCCGTCACCTCAGCAACTGCGGCGCAGCTCCAGCCTTCCCGGAGACGTTCCGAACACCCTCCCCTCGGGAGGGGATTATTCAGTGTCTAGACAAACAGCTCCGGCGCTGCTCTGGCAAAACCATCATTGTATTTTGTTATCGTCTGTCCGTTAAAACACTCAGAGCTTAGTCCTGCATCTCTATTTTGTTTGAAATCTGACTGCAGCCTTGCTTTTCTCGACTGCCGCCCCAGGCAGCGACACTACTCCTGAGCGCAGGGCTCGGGGCAGTTGGCCAACATAAGCTGTGTCTCAGGGCTGAACTCGTATCACTTCTGTTTGCAAATCACTTCATTTTCCCCCATTTTATCAGGTCCTTTGCTGACTGCAGGAAAGGGGGGAGGAAAGAACTGTTCGTGCGTCGGGCCAAGGGAGCTAATCTCAGTCTTTAGATTATCTTCTTCCTTCCCCCAGTCTGCCAGGGCTGGGGAGTTCCCACTCCTCCGTGCCCAGGTGGAGCCCCAGGCTGTGGCCGAGGGCTGAGACAGGCGCAGTACAGTGAGATGCAGCCCTGTACCTAAAGCTCATTTTAGTCTCTTCCTAGTTACTGCTCAGCTCAGCTTCAGCTTCCAGCCATCCCTCACTCATTTGGGCTGTGCTGTTTCTATTTATGGTTAGAAATACTAACACTGTTTAAGATAAAGTTAGAGCCAGACCAACACCCCCTCCTACTCATTTCCCCAAAATGCAAAGACTAGCAGACTTCCACGAACAGTACTGCTTTGTCCTGAACCGACAGGGATGTTAATTAGTGCTGGCAAAGAACAACTGAAATTGCTATTTTTTAAAACAGAATCTGACCTTGCGAAAAGTATCTCTATAGCTGCTTCGAATGAAGTTATCAGCCAGGTGTCACCTACTATGAGCTGCACAACTGCAAATGATCACAGCTCCTGGACGAGGTTGTGTCCAAGGACCTGGACTAAGGGGTGACAGAGCAGCTGTCCACAAGCTACTCGGGGTTTGCACCACACAGCTCACCAACCCTACACGGTAAAATGGAATCATAAATATCCTCACCCAGGGTTACAGAAATGCATCCGGCTTTCCGAGTATTTGGTGAAGGGAAATGTGACTATTTCATACGCACCTGTGCACACAAATGCATTGTTCGCTGGGCTTGCAGCAGGTTTAGTTTTAATATATAAACAGTTTGTGTCAAAATCATCTGCCAAGACTTCCAGTTAAATCAAAACTTTCACTATGGGCAGCACAAGTATAGCTCAATTAGAGGAAATATTTTCCTCAAGTTTCCAGTTCTCAGGGGCTCTTACTGAAGTGGGAAAAAAGCCCTCAAGATCCACCCGTCTTTCCTAAGTACACCAGCACAACTGCACTTCTCTCTCTCCTCAGATGACCAAAATAAAAAACCCCAACCACTTCAGTTTCTCTTCAGTGCCAGCTGGAAAGATAAAATTTTGATAAAACTGTGCCTCAGAGTGACCTGATGGGTACCAGCTACCTGGGACAGGCACTCAAAAGTACAGGCAGAGCCAAATACTTCAGATACCTGAAAATTCCAGTAAGAATTAATATGAAATAAACAAAATCCCAAGTATCACGAGTGAGAATATGTCACCGTATGTCAGCAGCAGCTGACACAAGTACCCCAACTGGAACAGGCTGTTTCTGCTTATTTGTTGTAAATTTTACAGGTGGAAGTGAAACCCAAATCCATGCCATAGTCAAGGAGAATAATGAGGAGTGAGAGAGCAGCTTAAGGGAGTTTCAGGCTATAAAGTTTTACCTGGTTGAAACAGTAGGTCACAGCTAAATTCCCATTCTCCACTGGAAATGGCTGCGGGGAGGCAGAAGCTCAGCAGAGAGCAATGGTTGGATACCTCAGGCGAGCAGAGAAGCCCCAGCAAAGAGGCATCGCCTTTTTTATTGGGGAAGAAAAAATGACAAAACCGTATCTCTTCTTCTCTGGATGATCAAAAGGGTCCAGCGAAACTGTATTTCTGGAATTAAATGTTTATTTAAATATGTGGATGACTTTCCTTTCATGGTTACAAGGTCGATATTCGCTTTCAAATGGAAGCACTTTATTTGGTTGAATTCTGTCTCCAGAAATGAATGGGCAACACCAGAACCTTTTACATGGGCAATGAAATCACAACACGGAGATGCCACCAAAATCTAGAGATCAGTGCTCAAACACACATACACACACATATACAAATAAAAAAGTGCTCGACTTCATCATGTTAAAATAGAATTTGGCTTTTTTTTTTTTTTTTTTTTTTTTTAGGTCTTTTGACACTTCAGGCAGGAAAACATAAAACAAAGAACAATATGCATCAAACTAAATTAACTTCTGAAAAATACTCAGCATTAAACACAACTTTCAGTATCAGTAAATATGTTTCTTCTCTATTTACAGGTGTTAAGAAAGGGCATTAGAGACTTTTGCTGGGGGTAATGAGATTTTGTAGGATGTACAGTCCACGCTTCTGGGCAAGATTAGTAAAGTCAAGCAGAGTTTTTATAAACCAGTCACATATTTAGTCCTTCAGATTTTGCAAAAGGTAAATTCTACAAAATTACTCATTCGTTACCCTGAATAAAGGCAGCGGAATAAACGTGTGGAGGCTACACTACATGACTGTCGCTGTTTTTTTCCTTGCAGTTAAGTTTTAAGATCTGGGCTTTCAGGAACTAGTTGCCAAGTTTATAAAAACTCCATACATGGTCTTTTAATAAAACTTCTGAAGAAAACCAAGTCAGCTAAAGCTAATGCTCCTTCTAAAGCGCTATTTAGCAACACAGACATTGCAATTGTTCAAATGTTCCACAGAGGCTGACAATAATATACTGTCCACCTAGATTAAATATATAAAAGCAAACTTTTATCTAATTTTTACATAGATGGCACAACAATAGGTGAAAATGAGTTCTTCCAGCTGCTGATTCAACAGTGCATTGGACACGAGAATAAAAGTACTGCAGCTAAAAATCTTTTGAAGATACTTTTGCACACCTGTTAACTGCTTAACCATTTAGATCCCCTGACAGACGGATGCCACGAAGCCTTTGCACAAATCTTTGTACAAAGCCCCAGGTGCCAGCCGTGTGGATCACATTCTGCTATCGGAGGCTCGTGGATCTGAACAGTTAAATGACCACAGTAGCAGCAATGATAAGGATGGTAATTCAATTGATTATGACCCTTCCGATGCCGCCAACACTGTAGCTGAACAGCCTCAGTGTTGGTACCACCTGCTGCTCGATGCAGGCTCCCGCACCACTTGAATTCGATTAAAAAAACAGAATTTTTTGCTGGTTGATGCTTGCAGATACTAAGCACCGTAATACGACAGCTACAGTAACCAACTGTAGGACCAATCGACTTTGTGCTATTAAAAATAAAAGTTGGTATCTTGACTGGAGAGAAAGGGACAGAGTTATGAACGCAACATGTAACCCGACTCAAACGTTACTTCATCCTGAGCGGGGGTGACCTAGGCAATCCCCAGCATGGAGAGTGATTCTTGGACACATTTCTATACGGTGACCCTGCACAAAAGCACAGCAGGCAGCAAAACACACATGTTTGTCTGCAAACTAAACCGGAGAGGTTTCATTTTAGGGTCGCTGCCCTAGTGGCTTCTATATCAATTTTCTCAAATCCAGGGGATTTTACAAAACATGCGGAAGTTCGCTAAGAGCAAGTAGATGCCCCCAAATGATGGGTTGTTCTACGAATAAATCAGGCCCTCGGGAGCTGTTAAGTAGCAACTGACTCTTATGGGGCTCAAACTGTACAAGATAACTGTAAAATCCTAGCAATGGTAGAAATTCAGGGGAAACCAACAGTTATATTATAGAAGTCTAGAAAGCACTTGGCCCGTTCCTAGGCAGTTGAGGTCCAGATCATGTGGTATTTGGAGACCTTCTAGCTCCCTCCCCACTGCATGACATGATAGAAGTGCAGCATCACTTATCACACTACTTCTGCTTCAAATAAAACCACGTGAGAACAGGATGGTCACAATTCCTGTCTGGCTTCTGGGTCGAGGTCCAGTCCACGACAAGGTGGGAGAACGAAATAGAGTGCGGTTTCTTTTTTTTTCCTTTTCTCTTTTATTTTTTCTAAAAAAAATTCTGTTATTCAAACATTAACTGATGAGAACGCACAAGAGGTTCATGCAAAAGGAGAAGGCAGGTCTGAAACGCTGAAAAACAAACCAACAAAAGAAAACCGCAAAGAGATCAACAACCACGAGCCACAAAATAACGTGGCCCTCGGGAAGGTGGGCGCAGGCAAGGCAACAGGGCGAGCATGCAGACTGAAACGAGAGCAAAACGGAGGTCTTTGTGACGAGCAAAACGGGGCTTCAAACCAAAATAC